TGGGACCATCAGGCGGCGCGTGCACGCTGACACCCTGCGCCCCTCCGCGCCCTCGGCCTTGGCGCCCCGCCGGCCCCAGCCCTGCCAGCCCCTTGCTGGGCCTGGGACTATCCCAGCCCGCAGGGTCGCGCGGTGAGAAACAGCGCGCCCGATACCCCCGCCCCTCGCCCCTGCGACAGCGGCGGCGGCGGCGAAGGTTTATTGATCTGCAGCGGCGGAGAGGAGCGAGAGACCCGCCGAAGGCGAGACGCGCAGAGATGGGATGGGAGAAACACCCAGAGCGGGGAGGTGAACGGAGACTGGAGTCACTGCGCGAGGCAGAGGAAGCCAGAGACCGGGAGAGGGAGGGAGAACGAGAACCGAGACCTGGATACCGGGGAGACCTACAGGCCCACAGACAGCAGGAGACAGAGACGCAAAGGAGAGGAGGGGGACACGGAGGGCGCAGAGCAGAGCTCGGCGATTGGGAGGGAACAGAGGGAAAGACCACCAGGGATGCAGTCGAGCCTCAGCAGATATTTGTTGAATGAATGTGTGAATGAAAACCATCAGCAACAAACATTTCAAAGGTAGAGACAGGTAGGGAGACACTAGAGATGTTCCCGAGTCTTCTGGAGACAGGGGCGAGTGCCAACACCTTTGCCCGGTTCTGCAAAGAAATGAAGCACAGGCCGGGGCAGGTACCGGAGCGCCAGTCCCCTCCAAATTCAATTTCAGGCTCAGGGGACTCTCACACTCCCATGCTTCCCTCCGACACAGCCCTCCCATCCCTAGTTTCTGGGCCAGGTTGGGAGCAGGCCTCGCCTACTCCAGGAGAGTACAGAGGGGCCGAGTGGGGGCCAGGGCTCGATCACTGCCCTTGCGCGGGGACCTGCCCCGGGTCTGTCAAAGGAGGCTGCCGCACGTGCCCCACCAGCACCCTCCACGTGACCTCAGGGGGTGGGGTCATAAGACCCCCTCCATGACCCCAAGGGGCAGAGACCCTCCGCACGTGACGGGAGGTGGGAACCCGGAGCCCCGCTCACGTGACTGGGGGGAGGGGCGCGGAAGCCTGTGGCTGGCCGGGCCCCGCCCCCAGCTCCCCGGCCCTCTCCACTCCCGGCTCCCGAGCACGTCGCTCGCACGATTTATGGGGCCGCGGCTGCCGCAGTGAGGGAGCCGGGGAGCCGGGCGCAGCGGCAACAAAGGCCCGGGGAGCGAGGCGGGGGCAGCGGCGGCTCCGGCCCGGTGCGCGCCCCCTCCTACCTCTGCCGGCCCAGGCCCGCTCGAGAGTGGAGAGAGCAGAAAGGAGGCACCCGGAACCGGCTCCCCACCCCCTTCCGGAGCTGTCACCTGCGCCCAGGTGTATGCGGGGGAGGTGGCCTGATCGATACCCCCTCAAGGCGATTCCCACATCCCCGAGGAACATGGGGTACCCCGAGGGTGCTGGGGAACCCGGCGCCCCTCACCTGCGAGCTCTCCTTGCCCACCAGGCTCCAGTGGGGCGGGGGTCGGATTGTGGGTCTGGGGGTGGGGGCCGAGCTAAGCAGAGCAGGGGAGTCAGCCTCAGCGCCCCCCCTCGAGATCTCGGAGTCCCGCTCCGGGGGGGAGGGGCCGCATCCCCACCCCCGTGGTTTCCAGGGAAGCGAGAGGGGGGCGTCGTTGGCTCATCCCCACCCCCAGTCTGACACTCCGGGCGCGAGGAGGGGGGAGGCGCAGAGCCCCAAACAACAAAGAGCGGAGCGGCGAGCGCAGCCCCTCCCCTGGAAGGTTGGGGGTCGCGGCCGCCAGGCCCTCCCGGTTCCCTCCCCTGGGGTCTTGCCATTTGCTCTCTAGTCGACCCCAGGCTGGAAAGCCAGAGGCAGAGCTGCTGCCACCGCCCGGGCAGGTGTGACAGTGACCCCCGCGTCCCCAGGGATCCCCCACCAACGCGCAGACACACGCGAGGCGGCCAGGGTGATGCCCACGGCAGCTCGGCGGGGAGGGGAAGACAAGGGCAGCGAGGACTGCGCGGGGGGCACCCGGCCGCCGCGCCGCACACCCCGGGAAACCGCACGGCCGCCCTGACACCCGCCCAGACCGCGGCGGCGCCGACAGCCACCCAGCCAGACGCGGCTGGCCACGCGGACACCGGCGCAGCCCTCTCCCCACCGGTGCCCGCTCCCACCCCAGACGATCGCCGACGCAGACACACAAATCACACACTCAGACACACGCGCACTGACAGCGGCGCACGCCTGTTCACACTCGGTGCCACACGCCGTTCCCAGCCCGGGTGTGTGTGCGTGTGCGTGTGACACGCCGACATCTCCCTGCCTCCTTCCCTCTCCCGGCTCCCATCCTACCGAGCAGCACCCCCAGGGCCCCTCAACTCGGCGACCCGGCCCCAGAGCACCGCAGCCGGATTTCCCCACAGGGCCGGGCAGCGCACCCTCCTCCGTTCCGGGGAGGCGCTCGTTCAGACTCCCGGCCTCAGCTCTGGACCCCACTTTTAGAACCAAGAGTCTAGGGCAGAACCCCTGGAAACCCTCATGGCCGAAAACAGGTCATCCCTGGGCCGCCTTATGCGGCGGCCCACCCCCAGGACACTGGGGCACCCCAGACCCCAGCGCAGCCAGAGGGACTGAAGATGGGGGGCCGATGGGTCAGGGGAGAGCTGTTCCAGCGGCGGCGGTGGAGAGAGGCCAAGATGGGGAGGGGGCCCCAGCGCCTCCTCCGCACGGCCCGAGCGCTTCTTGCTGCACCCCAACAGCCTCGCTCAGACACCCCCCGAGTTTCACAGACGCCCACAGAGTGCATTCCCCGCCCCCAGCCTTCAGCTCCTCTCCCCCAGGACTTCCCGGGCCCCAGCTCCCCCTCTCATGGACCCAGGACGCGCGGGCTCCCCGGCCCCCGACTCACTGCTGGTTGGAGCTGTTCCAGTACACCGCATGCCGGTTCCCCAGCGCCCCCCCGGGCCCCTGGGCCAGCAGCGGCAGCAGCGGCACGGGCACGAGCAGCAGGAGCAGCAGCAGCGGAGCCGCCGCCATCCCCGGAGGGGCCGGGCCGCGCGCGCACCCACCTGAGCAGACTGGAGAGCGGGTGACTGGAGGAGCCGAGGCCGCCGCCGCCCCCGGAGCCACCTCCGCCGCCACCCCCGGAGCCGCCGCCGCCGAAGCCCGAGGAGAGCCGCTTCCCGGACAGCAGCTTCTCCACAGCC